CCTGCTGAATCTTCTGTAGGGTGGAACTAGCACTCAGTGGTAGTGGTTCAAAAACAAGTGTATGCTGAGAGGGAGGAACGAGACAGTGAATCAGCAGCACGTGGTGTATCGCCGCCACATTTGAAAGAAATGTGAGCATTAAAGACTGCTTCTTCTCTTGGAAATGATTCACAATGTTGCTTATACATCTCTTGTCTTTTTCTTTCTGGTGTTTAAGGTCCTACACAGAATGATAGCTCCAAAGCAAGGAATGATACACGGTAGGACTTCTTTCCTCTCTTTTTTTTTTTTTTTTAATACTGCATTTTAATGTTTGCAATTTTGAAAGAGGAATGTATGTTTTATAAAGAAGACAACTGAGAAATTCCTGAGCGTGCCCTGCAACAGTATCTGTTAAGATCTGAGCATGTGCTTAATAAAAACACTGTCCTGTCATACTTGCACATATTGTTTTCCATATGAGCCCCATCTTGTAGCTTCAGTTTGCCACCATCTTTTTATCATTTTCTGTTCCTCGTCCTTCTCCCAGTGATTAACCAAAGCAAAATAAATAAATAAATACAGAAATAAGATTCTACTGGTGAGTAAATGGCACTGGTTATTGTTACGCTGTCTTGCTTTATAACATGGAGGTAACAGAATTATATTTACCTATAAGAAGATACCAAAAGCAGTGTTTTAAGGTTGATGGCGGATTGTGTACCCTGCTGCTTGTTAGGATAAAAGTGTGACCATACTTGAATGGTGGATTAACCTGCAGTGATCACCACATCACCTCAGTTAGTTCACAGTACTGCAAGTATTTTAAGGATCTCTATGATGCACTCTTGGATAACGTCTGGAGTAGCCAAGTTAAATTTCACGTATTTTTTTTAGTAGATCGTAACTCACTTAGCTATGTTGTCTTAAGTCTTCCTGTGAAAGTTTATTTTTGTTCTATTTCCTTTTCATGCTCAGATAAATGTTTCTGTGCTTGGATATTCAGAATGCCTAAGCATGTAATGGTAAAATAATAATTAGGGGACGTCCTGCTGGAAAGCAGCCCCGTGGAGAGAGACCTTGGAGTCCCAGTGGGCAGGGAGTGTCCCTGGGACAGCACCGTGTCCTTGTGGCCAAGAGGATCCATGGGATCCTGGGGGGCATTAAGAAAAGTGTGTCCAGCAGGGCTGGGGAGGTTCTCCTGCCCCTCTGCTCTGCCCTGGTGAGACCACCCCTGGAATGCTGTGTCCAGTTTGGGGCTCCCCAGTTCCAGAGAGACAGGGACCTACTGGAGAGAGTCCAAGGGAGAGCTACGAGGGGGATCAAGGGACTGAACATCTCTGCTGGGAAGAGAGACGGAGAGACCTGGGGCTGTTCAGTCTTGAAAGGAGACGGCTGAGAGGGGATTTATTAACGTAGAGAAATATCTGAGGGGTGGGGGTCAAGAAGAAGGGGCCAGTCTCCTTTCGGTGGTGCCCAGTAATGGGACAAGGAGTAGTGGGTTTGAGCTAGAAGACAGGAAGTTCCACCTCAGCATGAGGAGAAACTTTACTGCGAGGGGGCCGGAGCCCTGGCCCAGGCTGCCCAGAGAGGGTGTGGAGTCTCCTGCTCTGGAGACTTTCCAACCCGCCTGGACGCGTTCCTGTGGGGCTGCCCTGGGTGACCCTGCTCTGGCAGGGGGTGGCACTGGGGGATCTCTGGAGGTCCCTTCCAACCCCCAACATTCTATGTTTCGATGGTAATAAGAGTAATAACAGCTGATTTGGTTTTAGTACCAGCCAGTGGGGGGTTTGGTGTTCATTAAAGGTCCGTTTTGGGGTTCTTGTGAACCGCCTGGAATATGTCCAGCCGTGGTTATCGTTGCAGGCATAGTAGTGTTTTGACACGGGTTATTACACCTTAAGCCAACTGGTCAAATAGAACTAAAGATAAAAAGTTACACTTTTGACTCGAATGCTCCAGCAGCAGCAGTCTGCTCTCTGTGACTGAGGAATACCCAGGCTATAGCTCTTACAAACCTGAGATCACTGATGATTTGTACATGCTTTCATAATCATTTAAATCAGCGTTGGTGTGATGTGGTACGAATTTTGTGCACCACAAGTGGTGTAGAGCAAAAAGTGTGTTCGACAATGACTTTGAGGTCAAATGTTTATGACCCTATTTGATCCTCTATGACTCGTGATTTAGTTAGGCTTACTGACTGGTTTTTTATTTGTGTGCATTTAGAAGAATGTAATTTTGGAGATATTGGGCTGAAACTATGACTTATGGTTCTATTGCTGATGCCCTATTACTGATTGACCTGTCAATCCACTAGAATTTTAGTAGACAGTCTTTTTATTTTGCTCAGTGTATTCAGAAAATAAAACATTTTAGAGGTAAAGATGGGGATACCTGTAACTCAGCTTGTCAGAGCAATGTGCTGCTGGGTGTAATGGAACAGTACAGAATGGGCGAGTGCTGCTCTTTAGTTTCTTAATTCTTGTGAAGTTGAGAAGCTTATATTCATAGCTCTTGGCCAAAACTTTAATACTTAGTCCTAAATACTCCAGCCTCTTCCAGAACTGAGTTTAGGGGGAAAAGTGGTGTATGTGGGATTAAGTTTTCTAGAAATTTGAAACAGCCTGTTTGTTCTGAGCTTGTGCTAGCCCAGTTAACCCAGTGAACACAGGATGGTTTTGGAGTTTAGACGACTTCTTGTCTCATTAGAGACAAGTAGAGTTCATGGGTGGAAGTAGCTGAGCAGCAAAATCCAGAGCCTGGGCCTAAAGGCAGGTGTATTAAGTTGGGCAAGGGAGGAGGAGGGTTCAGTGAGAGGTGTTACATACACAGCTATTTCACAACCTTCCATCAGTTGAGATTTCTTATACCTCAGACTATAAACTCTACATATGTTTATCCAAATGTGTGGGGTTTTGTAATTATTGTGTGAGAATCTCACCTTGTCATAACTGTTCCATTCTAGTGTCTTCTGTAAAGTTTAATATCACCCATACCTTATTAGAACAGTTCTCCTTTCTGTCTTCTCCCACAAAAGGACTAACTCAAACGGCCTCGAAAGTTGTGAAGATGCTGCTCCCAGTGAAAACAAGACTGTTAACGGTAGCGATTCTCCGTTACTCACAAATGGCAACTGCAAACCTGCTCGACCTCCCAGGCCTTCTAGACCACCCCCACCCACTCCCCGCAGACCAGCTTCCGTAGCGGGTAGGTATCGTGGGGCTGGGCTTCTGCTGCGAAACTCTTCGAATGAGCGTACTCCTTCCTGATGCTGCGTTTTGTAACTACGTTCCTGGGCGGGTGACTTCGGGAGGACTCTTTTTCAGCTTGTGTTCAGTACATGTTGTTTAATTGTCACTCTTGCCATTAGAAGTGTCTTGCTTTCGTATCTGCTAAGTACCCATGGCAGTGGGACTGCGACGTGTGGTGGAGGTGGGACCAAAAGAACACAAATAAATGCTGCTGCTGCAGTAAGAGATCCCACTGAGATTGAGGTTTGAGATGGAATCTGTGGAAACACTCACGGAACTGTCTCAAGTTGATAATACTTGGTTCTGAAATACTAGTTGTTCGTTTCTACAATTCTAGTTAAAGTCTGTGAAATAGCAGCATTTAAAACAGTCATTACTTCTTTGCACTGAAGTAGATAAATAAAAAAATACATCTAAAACCTATGAAACATTAAGACAAGTAGTCCTGAAAACTTCGGTGATGTTTGTAGGGTAACTCCTTTACCCCCATGCGCTGCAGTCTGATTCAGTAGTCTCGTAATTAGAATTGGTAAATGCTGAGTCTGGATGGGAAACTGTGATACAGTAATTGCTTTAAAAGATTAATCCGGTGTAGATCAGGAGTAAGGCCTGACTTCCATGCAACTTTTAATCCCAGCCACCAAATGGCATTCCGAGAAAACAGAAACCATTTGAAGAATCCATGTATTTCCCTCCCATTCCCATGATTTCTTCCCATGTAATGTCAAGTCTTTCTTTGAAAAATTTGTTTATTATCTCTTAAATCACTATTCCAAATAACTGATAGAAAATAAATAACTGATCAGTGCAAGAAAGCAGTTTTTTCTTAAATAATTTTTTGGTGTTTACAGAGTGCAGGCAACTTGCTTTGGTAAATATGATTTATTCTATCAGAAATAGCCGTCAATGACAGCTGTTGGATTAAAGCATTTTTACAAAGTGAGACAAAGCTGCTCTTTAGTCTCTGTGTGAGCTGTAAAATGTGGCTGCGTGCATGCACTTTTGAATACCAGTTCTTGCATGTTTACTTCTGTGATTCACAGCTTCTGAGATAGATTGGTGGTAAATATCAGTTAAAGGCTTTATTTTTATTTTAATTCTGTCTTTGATATCTCTGCCGTTGTAGCAAGTGTAAACGGCCCTTCAGCCACGTCTACCGAAAGCGACGGGGCCAGTGCGGGCTCGCTGGCCAGTTCAGCTGCAAGCACAACAGTTCTTGCATGTTTACTTCTGTGATTCACAGCTTCTGAGATAGATTGGTGGTAAATATCAGTTAAAGGCTTTATTTTTATTTTAATTCTGTCTTTGATATCTCTGCCGTTGTAGCAAGTGTAAACGGCCCTTCAGCCACGTCTACCGAAAGCGACGGGGCCAGTGCGGGCTCGCTGGCCAGTTCAGCTGCAAGCACAACCTCAGAACTGAGCCCGGAGGGGGCAACGGCACGGCTGCGACGACGACGGCTCCTGCGACTGCTGCGCTCACCACCCCCCCGGTATCGAGACAAGTGCAGGCAGTAAACCCTTCCCCTCAGGCGCTCACCACAGTCAGCCAAGGCCCTCTGCCACCTGGGTATGAATTTAATAACTTCTAAAAATTTTCTTTTGTGTGCTGACGTTTCTGCCTCTGTTTATAGTAGGGTGTAACAGAATGTTCATAACATCTAGCTTTTGCTGAATAACAGAAAATCCCCCCTGCCTTGCTTTCCCTCGGTAATTCGGAGGTTTTCCTAGAGGAGGTTTTTGTAGATGAGAAGCTCAGCCTGAGCCGGCAGGGCGCTCGTGCAGCCCAGAAGGGCAACCCTGGCCCGGGCT